AGTCTCTCTCTCTGGCTAAAGCATAATGTCTCAAATAGAAACGAATGAATGCAGATCGGAAATGTAAATCGTAAAACTCCTTCCTGGGCGTGTCTGTGCCAGATGCACATGTAGTAATTGATCCTAATTGAGAGCTTGTATTATTTCAATTTTTTTATTTCGTTGAATTCTATATGATTATTCATATCACAAGTTTTTAATAATTTGTAATTATAAAATTTGTAATTATTTTTAATAAAACAACATACAATTCAAAAAATTTAGTGTGATATTTATATATTTATCCTAAAATTAAATTTTTATTTCTGATTGGTATTTATTTCTGAGACCTATTTTCACTATCTAATCAAGTAATCAAGTTAGATTAAATGATACATTTTTTATTGTGAAAAGTATAATTCTATAGATATTATTTAATTATATTCTTTATGTATTTTGATCGCATTAAATCTATTCAATAATATTAAAAGGCTAATAATATAAATAACCATGTATATCATCAGCAATCATGCTACGCTTCCGATCATAAGGAATTATTATCAATAGCAGTTATTAACTTATTAAATTACTATCGAACGTAGGCACCCTAACTATAGTGATTAAGTCTTCACCCTAGAATTTATTAACTATATCTCTTTAGCCTGGGAATATCGAGCAGAAGAATATCAAGATTCACATCCTGAACAAGGATAAGGAGGAGAGAGGCACTTTCGTTTATAAATTATATTATAAAATCACGATTGTGTATGATAATTTTGCCGTTGGAAGATAGTCGTGCTTTTCGATCACGTTGATGAGTCTGACTGGTCCATAGGTACCAGAGTACAATGCTCAAAAAAGGCGTCAGAGATCGATCTTCAGGATCTTTGATCCTTCTTCAGGACGTGTCTTCGGAGTATTCGAGATCAAGAACTCGTTTTACTCCACTCGAACGACTCGCACGCCTCTCAGTCATCATTAGTAACCGCCGACTTGCGTCGCGATTGTTGGCGCCAAATCACGACGAAAGGGTTGACGGAGGGTGAATTTGCTCCCGCCATTACGCTCGATTTAATTCCGTCATCTCGCTTCGATTTCGATTCGGACTCTCTCTTTGTGTCGCCTCCTCCTCGGGCCACTCGACCGCGCACAAAGGATGCGTTTTTCCCCAGGCTGCACCAGGCTGTCGCGAGCTGTGCAGCTGCAAGGCCACGAGGTAGCGAAAGAAAAATTGCGAAATAAAGAGGGAAAGAGAGAGAAAAATCATTGAAATCATTTTTTGCAATGTTAATTAACCGCCTTTGCCAACGAACAATCGGAATGATTTCTGCTTATAGTCTTATTAATCACAATAATTTTAATAAGGTTTTAATGAAATTATCATTCTATAATCTTGTAATAGTATATGTATTTTTCATGCTATTTACGCTACGCTTTTAACGCTATTTATTATTTTTTATTATATTAGAGAGAGAAAGGGAGAGATCATCGAAAATATCATTGACAAACAAAATAATATCCTAAAAACTTATTCTTGTTATTTTTTTATATTATTTTAATCTATTCAATCTGTCGTATTAAATGTCATATTTTTTGTAATAATACTATAAAGTAACTTTTAAAAGCTATTTATTAACATTTTTGAATGATTGACTTTTAATAAAATAGTTTGATATGAAATACTGAAATAAAATTGATGTTAATAAAATATCAGCTGACGTGAAATAGATACAGTATTCAAATGAAGTCATTAATTTTATCTTCTCTACTGTTTTTATTATATTTTTATATTTCTTACTCACTTTTATTATGTTTCTATAATTCTCTAGTCTTGTAAAAAATAATAATCCACATCTAAAATTTCTCATAAAGAAATACTTATACAAGAACACTATTGCAATTTTATTTGTTTTGGTGATTTATTAATCATTTATAAATATACCAGATGTTGATATTTGTAGAGAGCCCGGAAATATTTTAGCAGTAACTCGTAATCGTGAATTCTACGACGTGAGTTTCTACGACACTTCTTCTTGCCTTGATGAATCAAGATGATAAAGCAAGAATTAATTAGTAGGTAGCATGCTGACAGAGAGCACTCGGAGCCTTTTATGACGCTCATAAAAAGTTGATTCGGGAATCATTTTACGCGACTAGTGATACTCACGATCGTCTCGTTTCGCCAATATTTTGTGGTCACGAGATTAAAAACGCAATCTGTCCGTCTTGATAAAAATTAATAAAGATAAAAATAAAAAAATAATCTTTATTTTCTTCTCTAGAAAAAAGTCTTACATTCAGTATTATAAATGACAATAATGTATAATGTGTTGATACAACTGTAGAATTGATATAAAAATTATGCACGTATGCATAACACAAATATGAGAGAATAAATGAGAAATAAATGATAGCATGATTATTATAAAATCTGGAAAAATTTTACTAAATTAATTTTTCTCTCCATATTTTTATTCATGATATTTTTGACATTTAGTTCATCGATTAATTTTACGTATAGTGCAACATAAAGTAATAATTCGGCCGCAAAGATAAAATTGATCTGAAAGATATACGATGCGCAGGCTTTGTCCAGTCTTCTTTAGGTAATTTCCATGTTTAGCAAAGCGTACAAGCGCACGAAATGTTCACGCATACGTTTTTTTGGTTTTTACGTCTTTACGTTCCGGCCGGAACCGCTCCAATTAACCGGGCATTTATTTTCGAACATCTTTATTTACCGGCGAGTCGTAAAAGGAGCGCGACATGCTCGCATTAAGATTTTACAGCTGAACTCAATGTGTAACCGCGATGAGAGCACAAACTTATCGTCATCATAATCCGTATAAAATATAAATACATTCACGGTTTATATTCAATCTCCGTTTGTTTATCGTTGAAAAATGAACCGCGTGTCGGCGAAAAGTGCACGAGAGAAAAATTTCAAGGCCGCCGAATATTTAATAAAGTTTGCCCTATTCTTGTTCGGTAATCTTTTTCTTAAAAAAATAATATATTCGACAAAAAATATTGCATTATTATTTATATAGTAGATTTTGAAAAAATTTTTCGTGTAAGTCCCTTATCTATAAAAGTCTTTTAAAAATAGGAATATTTGTTTGGCGTTTGATAATTTGTGGTTTCATAACAATGTAAATATTTTGTAATCGTACGCACGCAATAACTTCAAGATATTTTGATCTGCGCATTTTCCCATTACGTAATATTATGTTACATATTTGACAATAGAAACTCGCAACCGCATATCTGATTTCACTTCCATAATTCTCCCATGTAAGAGAGATCCCGTTTCTACATCGGTGAAATGTACACACATGACACGAGATACATGTTATGTATTATATATTTCCAAATCTTCGTAATTTTAAAATATATCGGTTTGATATTTTTAATTATGTAAATTATATCATTATCACAAGATATTGCAAAACATTAAACGTAATCTTAATCTAAAATCATATTTTTTAAATTAATTTATGGTTAACTTATTAAACATTATATATTTTATCAATCTTGTCTGAATATTATACATCTTTTTTTAATTTAAATGAGCAATAAATTTTTCTTATCTTTATTAAATATTTAATTACACTTCAGATACTCAGTTAAAAACTACAGTTAAAAAAAATCTTTGCTCTTTAATGATTTCTAACTCGGGAACTATCGACATTTTAATCTTTCACATGAAGAAAGATTGATGGCAAATTAATTGATCTATTAATTAATAAATCTGAGAGAGTCTTCATGAGAGAGATTATGAATTTAAAACACTTTGTATGTGTCTGCAAGTCTTTGCATAGGAGTGCAAGTAACTCGAGACTCTTGTGCGAGGCAACCATTTAAACCGCTGACCGTAAACAGAGAAGCTCAGGAGAAAGGCTTGGGAGGTACCCTGGGTTCTTGTAAAGGGCGTTAATTACGGGGCTGCGCGCGTTTCGGCTTCTTTTCCCTCGACCGATTTTCGTTGCCGGAAGTGGAGTACTTTTTGCCGAGTAAAAAGATGCAATAAACGCGAATATGCAACCGTTTACTCTCGGTACACTTGCCTTTGAAGTGATAAATGGGAGTAATTTTTTTTCCTCAAAAATACTGTCAATTTATTTCATCTAAAAATTGTTTATCTATTTAATCTTTCTGCGCACATTTTTTTAAACATGCTAATTCAATATTTATTTTCTATCTCAATTGATGATAAATTATTTTCTGTCTCAATTGTAACGATAACATTTATGATAATATAGAATATATGACAATTTTACGTCTAACTGAAAAGAGAGAAAATTTTGGACAACAGCAGTTTCTGTCGTCTTTTAAAAATTTAAGAATATTAAGAATATTTATTTCTTACTTTTAACTCTCTTCTTTTTTTTAGGAAGATGCGACATATTTTCTAAAATTAAATAGCATAATAAAATAATCTAATTCAATTTGATGTTTTAAAAAATATCATTAAATTCAAATTACTTTAAATTATGCAAATAATTCAATCCAGAAATGGAAGTAAAAATATTATATGATAAATGAGTTTTCAGAGAGAAATTTAAAATGTTAAAAAGTGATAAATGAAAAATTTTACTGAAAATACTTTCCTCTCGAGATATGATTTTCTAGTAAAAGTTCTATTAAAGTTTCTATTAAATTTATCTCGGCGTGCACTTCCAGATTGAATTTAATTACTCGAGATGTTATATTCTTTTTTAATAATTAATTTTGTACAATTGTATAATAATTAATTTCTTTTATGTAAATTAACTAATAAATTAACTTTTAAACTAACTAATTTTATACAATAAGACGCACTTTTTATTAGCCAATCGAAAGAACATATCGTATTACTTGTTCAATGGCAAAGTCAATGAGACCGACTACTGACGCGGACTATGTAATCATCGTTTCAACTTACTTTGACTGAATTACCGGGCCTACTCGAAACGTGATACGAATTGCCTTTATCGGGTCTATAAGCATACACTCATGCGAATTATTCGATTCTGTTTCAGACACATCGTACGAGAAGGCTTGTCGAAGGGGTAGCGCACCCGCCACTCCTGTACTTGGGGCGCGACCCTTGGATGTCACTCCGAACAGGATCGTTGTAAGTAAATTTGATTACTCGTGTATTAATTCGTTAATACATAACGATAATTTACGATTCTATTTTTACGACATGTGACAACATTTATTAACATTATAATTATCTTTACATAAGTGAAGAATGTCTTTTGTAAAAATTTTATTTGTGAAAAATATTTTCCAAGGAAACCGACTATTGTTCTCTCGTTAAATTTCTCTTCTTAATTTTTCTCTTCACTTGTCTAAAAAAATTGTTAATAATGATTTAACGTTGTCAATTTTTGGGCAAAAAATTCAAATTATATTATGAAATTTTATCTATAAATTTTAACTATATTATAAAATTTTTCCCACTCATTTGGAAGAAAATGTTTTCACATAAAAATTAAATATTCCGAAGGAAAGGAATATATTTCAGGTGAAGAGAATATTTTCATTCATAAAAACATGAATTCGATCGTGTAAACTTCCCTTTATTTTCTTACTTCTACACGTTTTAACACCTACTTTATCCCTCACGTAACTTGAGATGAACCTCCTTGTACATGCAACATGCTTTGGCGGGCTCATGAATGAGAATTGATTTCCCGAGATGAAAGACTTGCCTTAGATAGTCGAGTATCTACATAGTTTACGCCAGCTCGTCGGCCAATTTAATGCCCGGGGCGTTGAATATTCACGAGATTTCGCCGAAATGCCTGCACATACGATACGTGTAATTAGTTCGTTACACTGTCACCCCCTACATAAACCGCCCCGCGGAGATGACGAGAACGACAACGAAGGCGATGGCGATGGGTTCAGCGATCTCATTTTCCATGGCGCCTGGCGTTAACCGATCCCGACTATATTTAACGTCTCCCGCCGCGCTTTCGTCTGACAATTTCACGTTAATTCAATTTAATTGAGCGGAAAATGTATGTGTATGGAATCACTTATCGTCACGGGATATCCATCTACCTCTTCCCACTGGTGATATTATCGAGTCTGACAATCGACACATTAATATACACATGTGTGCGTTTGCAAAGAACCGGATTTTCTCCGGCGAGAAACGCGATCTCGTGAGAGCAATTATTATTTTGAATCATTATTATGAACAAAATGAAATCTCTTAATATATTAATTCATTCACCGCTCATTTAGCATTAAATGTAGCGTTTCGATTTTTATTTGATTAACATAAAAGTGGCTTATTTAGCGTTAAATGTAGCGTTCTAATTTTTATTTGATTAATGTAAAAGTGGCAATTAGTATTATAAAGCACGATCGTTAGATAAACGTGTTTGGCGTTTAAATTTATAGTGAAAATATCCAGCAATCTAGCTTTAATCAAGCCGAGTTATCGCTCGTTTAATAATATAATTGGCGGCAACTTACAAGCCTTTGTAACGTTTCAAATTTGCATTGAATCGAATGGACAGTCGTGATAGTCAGAGGTTTTACTTTATAAGATATCTAGCCTTCGATAAATACCACGCGATTGCGCGATGCAATTTCTTTTTAACCCCAAGAGTCGTAGATAGCGTGCGAATATTTTTCAGCTGATCTGTCACCAGCATCTTTAATGTCGTGGACTAGATCTCTTTTAATCGCACGGATTTTCTTGCGGAAATTTATTATTATTTTAATTTTTTTAATTTCTTACTGCAGCGAGAATTAAACGCTTCAAGATTTATTCTGTAATCATTTCGAGAGATATATTGCGAAATTAATTTTCTATTAAAAGAAGAAATAAATGAAAATTAATTTTCTATTAAAAGAAGAAATAAATAAAAATATATTGTTGTGAGATTTTATATTTTCTATTGAAATTTCGCTTCCATTTCTGCTTTTTGGCAAATGCCAAAAATATCCAGTTCACTCTTTTATTTATCCTTTATTCGCCAATCACGAAATCGGGATTTCAATCACGTATTACTGATCCTTACGAATCTTCCAAAGTCTAGAGTGGTTAATTAACTGATATCTTTATTCGTGAGGCGAATAATATGTTATTTCCTGAAGCGTCGTCTTTTCTTCAATTATGATAAATTTTCGTTGAATTTGTCGTTGATTTAATTCATTGATTTTTCATAAACATATTTTGAAACAATTTTTTTCGAAAAATATTGCATTTAATCTAAATATTGTCGACAATTATTATAAAATTCTCTCCATAAATTTTGATTATTATACTTATACTTAATGCTCATATTTAAATATAAAAGTAGACGTAATACAGGAACTATCGATCGAGGTTTTACGAACACCAGCAGGTGTTCTCAATTCGCACATATTAGATTAGGTCATCGAATGTTTTCCCGCCAATTTTTTCTACGAACAAAATTTATAATTTAAAAAATTTATTTTCACTTTTTAAGAGACTACATAAAGTAACTTTTTACTATAAAACATTTGATTAAAAATTATAAATAGCTATAAATTGTATATATCTATTTTTTTGCTAAAAATTTAGAAATAAATTATCAAATAAAAATGAACAATTCGCATCGGCATAGATTACATTATTTGACACAATTTAACGATAAGAGAAATTCAAGATAATAGAATGCTCTGATATGTATGAGAAATTATATTATTATAATAATTTGTCGTAAATATCTCTATTATTTAGATGTAAATAACATAACATTAATTTATTTATTCTAAAATCTTTTACATAAATCACTATCAGTATCACAAGTACTTATATTATTAATCAAATAAATTAAGAGACTGAAATTACATTTGTTATATTGATTTTTAAACGCGAAAAGATATTTTGTGAAAAGATACTATTTTTACGACTTGTATAAAGACGGTTTACGCATCGATCGTAGTTCGTTGGTAAAGGGTTTTAAAGGAACAAAAGGACGAGAAGGGACTGGTTTCGTGACAAGTCGTGACAACTACGCTGCTGTTTCCGGCTGAAGAACGTCGCAGGCTGCCGTTTACTAAATGAATTATTTACCGGTTGTCTTGTGTGCGCAGTTTAATAATACGTTTATCTTGGATATCTCATTAAAATCAAGTATTGATAAATGTCAATGCCATTTCTTTCCAAATAATAAATAAATTTAAAGTCTTTTTATTAAATATTTTTATAAGAAATTTGATAAAACGTATAATAAAAAAATTAATTAATTTGAAAATAAAAGATTTAATCAACTGAGATTTTTTAAAATTAAATCACAAAACTATCTTTCCATTAATATTTATTTGAAATAGACAACTTGATCTGTTAACATACATTTCAAAATTCAGAGAACATAATGGAACAACGAATAAATTTACGCGCAACGTTACAAGTGAGACAAAGGGAATATTCGGTTGATTATTTAGTACGTAGAGCACGTTTCTACGAGAGAGTGAGCGGATTGCAGATGCAATCAGCGGACGCTGCATGTCGCAGCTTCCAATTTGAGAACCCCTCGAAGACGTTTTTGTCCTTAGCAGTGTCAGAGGAACGCGGGAACAGAGGAACGCGTCCGTAGAGAAAGGACCGTGAGGGGAATCGAGGGGTTGACCCGTTTTGCCTTACCTGAATACAGGGGCAGAGTTTTCGGTCGCGATACAAAGGTGCGCGCCCCAAGAATCCCTTGACTTCGGCTTCCCGGATGAGCCAACATCTGCGTCAGTCGTCGACGGGATTTCGCCGCGAAATCTCGCGAAATAGGATTGACATTCACGTTCGGCGAATAATAACTTGCCAGGATTGTAAATCAGGTGCTATGCCGAGAGAGACAGATGGAAATTTCATGATTGTGTCGAATATATTTATCGTTACGAATATGTGATTGTGCGAACATATATCTGATTGGATTTACTTCGTGTCATCTTTTAGGGAGAAATCATTTATATTTGTTGTGTAGCATTTTATCATATGTGAAAATTTAATATTATATAATAATAATAATAATTTATATATAATAATATAGAATAATAATATATATATTTAATATATATATATTTAATATATAATATATAATAATAATAATTTAATATTATATTAAATTTTATATATTTATAGTTAACTGTACGTGCAACTGGTGTCAAGAAAATTAAAAAAAAAACGGAATTGTGTTTTTAAATTTTGAAATTTATTTGGCTGCCATTTAATGGAATTATAGAAAATTATTTGGAATACAAAAGTATTGTTGAAAAAGGAAGATACTTTGTTATAAATTATTGTTATCACGATTTTTCGTAAAAATGACATTTTACGAAAGAAATTTTAAAATAATCACTCTAAATATTTTTTCACATTCATATTAATTATCACAATCATGATGTTCCATCGCTTTTCAAAAACAAAATAGGTATATAAAAAATCGTGTAATATTTTAATATAAAAACTCAATTAAATCTAAAATTCTCAAAAGATAGAAGAAACGATATCTGTCATTTATCGAATCTTTTCAAGAAACTGGTTTCACGTTTTTCGAGATTTAAATGTTTTCTTCTTTGTGTCTTCAAAAAAGAAAAGTTTGCAAGTTTGTACAAGTTTTTAAATAATAATAGCTTGATACAGTCGCAAATATATAAGAGAATATATAAAGAAAATTAAAATTGATGCATTTCTGAATCGAATATAAATATTGTTTTTATTTAAAAAAAAGTCTTGCACAAATGATGAAAAAAAATCCAATCACGATCGAGTCAAAACGCACGATTTCATTGCACGATTTTGGTATCGTGTCGAAAATGATAGACTGCATTCGCACATCCGACCGGTCATTATTCTCGCATCGATGCATGATGATATTGCTCGTCAGCTAGTCGTGAAATCCGATACATTCGTGAGCAAAAAGCGCCCGATCGGACATCATAAGTCCCGGAAGTAGTAGTACGAGTATCGTGAAAGCGAGGTAAAGCCGCGTGTAACCCTATTTAAAGGGCTTCCCGATTTAAATCACCGGTCGGGATAGACTCGTGTATAAATCCGAAGGGTGTATCCCAGACCCCAGATACACCCGAGATTTCGAAACTGTGTTTTGCTACCTAAACACGGGTCTGAGAAATTCTTAGCTCGTGTTAGTTTATTTTAACGGTTAGCAGCTGTGTCGAACGAACGTCTCTAGAAAGTGAGTGTTATTGTATCGTACAAGTGATTTCCTCACATATCAACAAAAATTCCAAACTAGTTTGAAATTCCTTTGCCGACCTGAGCGAATTATTAAAGAAACAAAGGGGAAAAATTTTGTTCGTTATTTTTGTTGTTCATTATTTCGTAGATAACAATAAATTAAAATTGTGAACATTTTTACACACAATCAACTTATTGTCACACAGAGAAAAATGTATACTGTATTCAAGTAAATATTATTTATTTTAAGTATATCATAAGTTTGTATAAAATATATCACAAGTTCACCACAAGCATTAAATTTAATTGAATATATTCTGAATTTTAGTAAGTGCAGTATTTTACTCAAGAATATTAAATTAAAACAAAAATTTGGTTTGCTTACAAAGAGTTGACGTAAAATATTTGATTTTTCTTTAATACAATTTTACAATATTCTCTAAGAGAAAATAATTTCTTCTTTTGAGTACATGATAGTGAGATTTTCTAACATTTGTGATGAGTATATTTTAAGAGTATTATCAAGAATATATTCTTTGATGAAGAAAACTATTATTTAAAAAAAGAAAAATTAACTGAGTAATCGCTCTTCTTGGCAATAGAATGATATTTTTCTTTGTGTAGATATCATAATTTTCGTGAGAAATCCTTAAAGTATAATGAATAATTCATGGAAGAATATTGATTTAAAGGATAAGAGAGACATCAAAATTAACTCTTGCAGCAGAGGATACATATGTTAATTACACGAGAGTCTTCAGTCATATAAAAAGCGATTGTAATTAATAATAATCGTTGAGTAAGCAGTTTTTGACGAGGTACTTGTCGAAGAGACCACCTGAGAATTTCTGCTGGATTGTAATTTCCAATCACGAAATCCGTACAACGTGGCAGCACGCGATTAGACTGCATCCTGACATTGGGTCTTATCTCACCTACACGTGCACGATAACGCAAAGCTTTACTACACGATATATTTGACGATGACGGTCACTTGCAACCAAGTAATGGGCAGCATTTAAAGTGGAAAAGTTTGCAACAACGCACCTTGATAAGTCACAATCAGTTTTAAATGGCGCGATTAAATTGAGAATTTCAATTATTTCACCATTACGCTGTTTGCAGAAAGATTCTTCGAGTTATTACATCTAAAATTGTTAAGATTACTAAGCAAATGTTCGTGAGAGATATTCAATTGAATGTAAGTTTTCCGAGTCATCTAAAATAAACAATGTTTACATATTTCTCGAACACGAATGTCATGCTTTACATACTTTGGATTACGTCATCAACAATTGAAACTGTTTCCGTAGTGGAAAATTATTGCGGAAATAGAATTCGCATCCGATATATACGATAAAATATGAAAATGTCCAGTTATAGGTTCTCACACTTGTTAGGATATATATTATATATGATATAAATTAATAATAAAAAAATTACGTAATATATTCGATTTAATTATAAAAATAATTTTTAAGTTATTAAGGAAATTGTCAATTTTTATATGATAGATTGTGAAAAAAACATCTCGTGAGCGATGAATTATCCTCCTGTCAAGTACGCTGTGTGATTTTACGATGTAAAGAATGTGATTTCATACGCGGATCGAAAACATTGTTTAATTTTTTCATTCCACTGAATTTGTGCGGGATAGTAAAAGGAAAAAAATGTGCGTCAAACCAATGGAGGAAAACGAAGACGATAAGATTGTCAGCACGATCATCAACTACTTTAGTGCGAGGGTAAATATCGCGAAAGGCTCAAAATTTCTACAGAAATATGTTTGAAAAATTCCAGTTTTTGTAAACTTTAGTGATAAACTTTTATCTAGGAATTTAAATGATTCGCGTCATCTTTTAAAACTTTTAATATGCAGCACGTGTTCTGTATATTTCTTTCAGTTTTAGAAATAATTCTATGAAACGCTTCCTCAGAAATACATGATTGATAATAATCAATTAATATTTTCTTGAATAGGGTGCCTCTCGATTAATTCGAATCTTCATTTTTTTATTGTAAAATTAAGTTTGAAAAAAAAGAAAAGATCTGTTTATTGTGATTTCAGGAGAGATATAAAATCGTTCATTTAATCGACATCATTAAATTGTTTCTTGCAGTTTATTACTATTAAAGATTATTATTATTACAGATAATGTCAAATAATACTGCGAAATGTATTCTCTTTTGTTTCTTTATGCATTTCCATAAGTATTTTTTATATCTCTCGAATATATTTAGGTTTTATATATTTTATGTACATTTGGGAAGATATATCAAATTTTTTAGTAAATGGCAATCAGCCAAATCTGTTTGTTCTTTCTGTGGTTTGAACAAAACCTAGCAAAGAGAATAAAATTGCGTATTCTCTAGTAATAAATAATTGTAAAGAAATAAGAGATATAAATATAAATTGATTATATACGAAGAAAAATCCACAAAATGATACAAAAAGTGCTTTTTGTTTTAGATTGTTTAAAATAAATCAAACCTTATGTCTCGTCATCGCGATTCAATATTTCAGAAAAATACATCATGAAAATATAAATAATTAAATTTTCTTGTTGCATACATATATGCACGAGCTAAGAAAAATAAAAATAAGTTAATAAAATAATACTTTATATATCTACAATTATTATACTTGAGCCGGGTGTCTAAAGCTGCGCAGCGATATTTTTCCATCGCGAGAAAAAATGTTGACGAGTTAGCTGTCCGTGTACGACCTTTAACCGAGACTACCTCCTCTCATTTGCAGAATTTCTTCTCGAAACGATCGTTCCGGTCGAACCCTCTGAAGAGAACGAAGAGCGTAACGAAGCTCGAACGGCAGAAGCAACGGGGCGCCGGTCTTCGGGGATGCCGTTCGCACGAATCTCTCCTCTGCGGACAGGCGGTGACCTCGATGGACCTCGCGGCGGTGACGCCGCTGCATCCCAGCCTCCTCGGCAGGCCCCACTGCTTCCAGGTCACGCCGAGCACCGGCGGGCCCAAGTATTTCAGCTGCAGAACCGCTCACGAACGGGACCAGTGGTTGCACAGGTCGGTATACGTATTGCTTTTATTTATCGCCCCGTCGACTCGCGATTCGTTTTCGTCATGTGAGAAGAACGATTATCGCCGATTATCGCCGGGTATTCGCTTGCGCGCACCGTGTTCTAGATTCATACAGTTTCTCAATCGTGAGTCGACGAATATGATATTTGGCTCTTTGATCGAGTGCAAAGTTAAACATCATCTATTTCGACAGTATCGTATAAATAGATCGGCAGTCGAATGCATATAAATAGGCCAACTAGACTATTATCAGAAGTGCTTTGGCAATAGTCATGTTATTGGAATATAATTTTTTTATACAATCAAATGCTACTTTTGACTTTTGGATATATTATATACAAGGAAATGTGAATGTTTGCACAGCTTAAGGAAATCCGTCCAGCCGGATGCAGAACAAACACGTCGAACGGATAATTCCCTGCAGATCTGGTTATTGGAGGCGAAGGGCGTGCCCGCAAAGAAGCGATATTTTTGCGAGGTCTGCCTCGACAGCACCTTGTACGCGCGAACAACTGCCAAGCTGAAGGCTGATTTGTGCTTCTGGGGCGAGCATTTTGATTTCCATCACTTGCCCTCCGTCAACACGATCCAGGTCAACCTGTATAGAGAGGCGGATAGGAAAAAGAAGAGAGACAAAAATGTTTTGATCGGTAAGCATATCTATGTCGATTATAAAGAATCTTTGTATTTTTTCCAGATTTCTTTTTCTAATTAAATTTCATGTTTGCTACATTGCTTACATATATTATGTTTATGTAAACACAAGAAGATTATGTAAAAATATAAATAAAAAAATATAAAATATGCTCCTTCTCTTTTATATGTGAATGAAAAATTATACGAAATTATTGCAACTAATATTAAGTCTTCATGCACGATTTCTCTTTTAGGTTCTGTTAGTATACCAGTGCACAATGTGACGTCACGTTATCTGACGGAGAAATGGTATACCGTAGTAGGTGACAAAGGACCTCTCAAGGAGCCACCCGCATTAAGAGTAAAGTGCCGTTTTCAGTCGGTTGACATACTGCCAGTTCAGGTTTATCAGGAGTTTCTGGAATACCTGAAGACCGATTACGCGTCGCTATGCGAAAAACTGGAACCCGTCATAGGTGTCAAGGCGAAGGAAGACATCGCGACTGCTTTGGTGGCGGTCATGCAACGGGAAAAAAAGGCGCCGCAATTCCTCGCAGATCTCGTCATGATGGACATTCATCGAATAGGTCAGTCCTTATTATTCATAGAATCAATTAAAGTCACGCATCAAAATATTAACGTTTCATTATTGAATTGTTCAAAACTGTTCTCTCCAAGCGCAATTATTGCTTACAGATTTATAATTTTTAACTTATTTGTGATTGAAATCTCTAGTTTATTAATTTATGCAATTTATAATTTTCATTTTAATAATTTTGATATTTCTTCTCAATATTTCAGATGACGAAAGACTCACGTTTCGAGGGAATTCGTTAGCCACGAAGGCGATGGAAGCTTACTTGAAATTGACCGGGGACAGATATTTACAGGAGACTCTGGGAGCCGTTGTGAGAGGCGCGGTCGAAGGCGGCGATTGCGAAGTGGACCCACTCAAGGTCGCTTCCGTCGCCGCGTTGCACAAACAACAGCAGAACCTTCGCAACGCTGTGGAACTAGCATGGAACAGAATATTATCGAGTCACTCTCACTTTCCGCTAGAATTGCGCGAATGCTTCCGCATTTTTCGCGAACGTCTGGCCGATATGGGTCGGGAAGACATTGCAGACAATCTCATTTCCGCGTCAATCTTTCTGAGATTTCTCTGTCCCGCCATTCTCAGTCCATCTCTCTTTAATATTACACACGGTGAGTTGAAACGACACATGACACGTTAATTAAGATATCAACCGATCCCAAATTAACAAGATTACGTTATTAATTAACGCGCATAACTTTATAAATGAGAAATAATTTTTGCTTTAGAGTATCCGAACGAGAAAGCAGCGAGAAATCTCACTCTGGTCGCGAAGACACTTCAGACGCTTGCAAATTTCACGAGATTCCAGGGCAAAGAGAACTTTATGGAGTTCATGAATGATCTACTCGAACGAGAAGCTCCGTCTATGAAGAATTTCTTGCAATTAATTAGCGTAAGTATATCTCTTTTCTTTATTAGCATATTTTATTTCATATTTTAATCTCCAATGTATCTCTCTTTTCAACAGAGCCCACTGCCAAAGGACGCACCAGCCAATAATTCGCTCGAGTTTGACGGCTATATAGATTTGGGCAAGCAGCTATCTCTGCTGCATGCTCTTTTACGAGAAAGTATGGCAGCGATAGCACCGTCCTCGCCGTCGATGCCGCCGTCGCGATTACCCGAAATTCTCGATAGAATCTCTTTGGCTCTAGATCAGCCGGGTCCGAGTCCTGTACCTGCCGCGCATCGTTATCCGAATCTGCAGAATAACATCTTCCGTTATAATGATCCGACGATCGCCAACAGCAACACAAATCTCTCCATCTCGGCCACGTCAACACTGAGCAATCATAGCACGATAAACGGCACGATCAGGGATAGCAATGAGGTGTTGCAAACCAACACTCTTGGTCACAATAGCTCGCGCAGTCCTAATGTCGCTAGAGCGGCGACTCTACCGCGAAACGCTTATCTGCCGACGAACGGCAAGTTGCAACTGCAAATCAGCTCTGATGATTATCCTCTGGAGCCACCAGCGTTCGTTTCGCGTTCGCCAACGCCAATTACGCGGCAACATAGGCCGCTCGGGTCCAATCGTTCTGGGCCGGGTTACAGACTGACAGCCAGCGCAAGTTTGGCTAACGTCAATCACTGCCAGACTCATCCAACAAGTCCCACGCGTTCCGAAAGTCACAACAATCTGAAAGACTCCAACTATAACATCACTTCTTCATCACAAAACAATCAGTCGAGCAATGGAAGCATCGTCTTGCAGCAGCAACATCGGCATAACATTGCGCGTCTGCAAAATCTCGATATTCACGATCGTGAGGATAATTATAATCACAACAATTACAACATGTCGAGATCGGCTAGCCGAAATCATTGCCACAAGGAAGAGAATGCCAATCAAACGCAGCAGCGTAACTACAATGTCTCCAAGACTACGGTGAACGCGAATGTGGTCGTTAATCCACCCACGAATCTCACGTTGTCCATCAATCATCAACCTAACAATAATTATAATCCTCCCAAAACAAACAACCATGCTACATCCACTAACGGCAACCTTGATGAGCTGTCCGATTTACTGAGATACGCGGATGATGAAGTATCGGAATCCAAGTCACAGAAAGGCTCGCAGATTTCCATCTCGCAATTGAGCAACGTGGCTTCTTCCGGTTATCAGAGCTTCGCCGCTTATAGTCAGAGCTCCAGTCCTGTAGATCTTAGCAGCAACAACGCGAATGCGCATATTCTCGGCACAGCGCCGCTAGCATTCGCTAATCCTGTTTATCACATGGAATCTAATCACGCGAGGACGGGTAGACGCGATAGCAGCAGTTCTGAGGAGAGAGAAGGTAGCGGCGGCGGTGGCGTTGACAGTGTGAGAGGTGTCGATTTGAGTCCTTCGCCACCACCCAAGAACAATGTACGAAATCACCAAAGGAACAACCAGAACCAATGGCGGCAGGGTAATCAAACCCACAGGAACAACTCGGAGCATACGCAGGACGTCTGTTGCCCAAAGCTCCGAAGAAGGCTCTCACTGGACTCTACGCGAGACCTGTCAGATACCAGCGAGGAGGAGAATTGTACCACCAGAAGGAGCAAATCTCGCAGTCATCGAAGTATCGATCAGGTGAACAAAAGATACTTTTTAATTTTATTTTTCGTATTAATCTTTTACGCGACTGATCGTGCTGGATTAAGGGTTATTTATTGAACTAAAGAATTCTATAATTCTTTGGTATAAACCGAATTGTGAATAACAATCTTTACTTGCTGTTAGATTTACTGACTATATACAGAGTGTTTCAGACCACCCGTACCACCCATTTGACCCCAAAACTAGAGAAGTGGTTATTTTAAAAAAGTAAAAACATTTTCTTTATAAATCGGGTGAGCTCTATCGAATGGTGATATTTTCAACTTCTGGTTCCGGAAATAGGCGATTCAGACCGGAAGTGCATTTTTTTTAAACGAAACGTCCTATTTTTCATTGCATAGACTGTATAAACGACTAATTATAATACTTTTCTGTCTAACGAATATTCTTTCTCTTGTAACTAAAATACGCTACGTGTTTTCTTCGTTTCCAGTACGAAGTGGAAATGTATGAAGTGGAGAGGCTGCAGAATAGCGTAGATCGACTGCGATTGCGCGCGCGATTAGGTCCCACCGACGATGCCGATTTAGATCTCGCGCCCGACAACAACATGAAGAGCATCATTTCCAGGTACTTCATCTCTTCATTTCCGTACTGGTATCGCTAACCCACTATCGGTTCTTTGCCTGAGTGTGAACCCTGATACCATCGTGATCATTATCACTTTCTCTGCGTTTTTCACTTCGACAACTCGTCATGTTCAGCCGCTCAATCTTTCATATCTCCTCACGATTCGCTCGTTTCATTTGAAAAAAATCTTCATAAAGAAATTCTAAAAAAGTATCGTAAGATGACACATTTGAATTGACAACATTCAGATTCGATATTATATTTTCATAAAATGATTTTATAGAGAATTTTTATGTCAAATTTTTGATTAATTATCTATAAATTCTTTTATAGAGTAATAAATAATGCGATTGCAGATACTATGAACTGAGAGACTGACTATTTTATTTCGCGTACAATTAAAGAATAAACTTTGTCTAATCGCGGATACCACTTTTTCTATGTCTAACGGAACTAATGGGGAAAACACTCATCCGTATATGAACGGCTACTTTATCGAAATGATGTATGTTTAACTGATTGTGTGTTCCTGTGCATTCTATCCGCTGCATTTGGTATACTCTGGCTTGATCTGGACCTTTGGTGTAAGAGTCAATTATATTTCTTACAAGCTTTTCTTACATTTTTTACATTCACATGTATTGAATCTTCGTGTTCTTTCTTTCGGGAAAACACTGGCGCGGAATCGCGTTTGGCCGCTCGAAATTAAACCGAATGAAATTCTGCGTTCACCGAGATCACGAAAAATTAATTTTTCACCGATTGTCATTCATCGAACACCGACACACTTCACGACACACGTACAACACGTTCATGCTGCTCATATGCACGGATATTCTGTGATTCCTGGCAATCACTTGCGTATCATAAAGAAAGAAATGTCCTCCACAAGCTAATATTCTCTGAATTGATTTGAATTCTTCAACATTTGTGGACATTTCTTTTTTCTCCCTTTCATTATATATTGCTCGCTGTGACCGTGATTACAAAACAGACACACGGTTACCTAATTTTAGGAAGGCTTCTTATTTTATACTCCATTATACTTTTCAAAAAATGTCTCAAACTCTGCACCAAACACTCTTGCTTTTTACAGCTTTTTTAACATCTATCAATGTTGTTTCATTATGCATCGTGGTGTGCTTGATTCATTTTCGAGTTCGCTGTAACGTCTCTCAGAGTTTTGAAGTAAATTTCATCAATAAATGAAATAGCTAAATAAATAGTAGCTCAAGAGAGAGAAAAAGAAAGAGAAGAGAGAGTTCAGACGAAGATCATTTCTACATGTGCTTGACTCCTCGACGTTCTTTATTCTTCTACTATGATGCAATCGTTTAAAAAATAATCATTTTAGTATTCTTGACAGGCTTTTAAAGAATAAGGATCGTTATGAGGAACATAAGGACCAACATAATACAGGGTAGACCAAAAGTCTAGATACAGTCGAATATCTCGTATAGAATACATTTTAGATCAAAATTCTTTAGACAAAAGTTGTAAGGATTAAAAAGATGTATTTAACTGTAATATCCATTTGACATTGAGTGGCGTCGCCAAGATCAGGGCAAGGTCAACTTGAATTTTTTAAATGGAACCCCCTATTTTTCATTGCATATTCTTGTAGCTTACCTCGAGGGCTTTCCAAAACACTATAATAAAATATTTTTTCATTAAGTACTTTTCAAGTTGTGAGGCTTGAAATCATTTCTTAATTTTACAGTTAAATACATCTTTTTAATCCTTACAACTTTTGTCTAAAGCATTTTGTTCTAAAATGCATTCTATACGAGATATTCGACTGTATCCAGACCTTTGGTTCACCGTGTATATATTTCCTGAGAGACGCGCTGTAGTTTTTTGTCGACCACATCTTTCTCTTTATCTTTATTGCGCGATTATGTTTAATCCTAATACAATATTCTTTTGCTCGTAGATTAATCTCTGTGGAGGAGGAGCTACGTCGCGAACAGCAGAAGATGTCAGCGGCGCTGTCGTACAAGCAGCGCGTGATCGACGCGCAGGAGCAGCAAATAGCCGCATTGGGTGCCGCGAATACGCGTCTCATGTCGACCAACGCGAGCCTGCTGTCGGCGTTGAGCAAGCAACGTTATAACAGCAAGTCCCAGGCGAGCAGCGAGGCTGCGCCCTTGTTGCAGAACATTGCCGACATTGGCGAACTCAAAAGCTCGTCGTGCTAAGCGTATCGTTGTTACGACCGGGAATTGTCGAGAACAAGAAAAATTTTTCAGTTCATAGAACTGTTTCTTTGAAGAATCTCACGTGCTGCAAACACGTAGAGATACGTCATGCCAACGTTCACCTCTCTCCTTCGAATAATGATCTGACTGAGTGATGTAACAACTTTTATAAGATAATTGCGGAATGTAAGGATTCTGAAAGGAGAATGCTGATTATTGGTCAATCTTGCGAGCAAACGTGGGAATTTTCATTATTCGAGGAAGGGAAGCTTATTCAGAAAAATGTTTATGGGTCTTCCTTAGTTGTGCGATTCGCTGCATGCATTCTCTTCGTCGTCGTTTAATTAACACTCCCGATAAGATCTCGCGCTCGAAAACTGGAAACACGCAGCGCAAGCAAGCAGCCCGATTTTAACTCGGACTGACAAAATTGTGAGAATACGTATGTGAAGCATTATGCCGAGAAACGCAATACAGAATAGATTGCAACACAAAAGAGAATGGCGGGCGAATAAACAGAGGCTACTTAGTGAATAGGCAGACCAAGTATGTAGACCAAGAATTTTCGTCGAGTTTATATAATGTGACATAGCGTTAGGCTAGGTTTATTTGTACGCGTAGAAGAAAAAAAAATCCGCGACTCGTCCGAGAACCGACATCATGAAAATGCCCCGAAACGACGATGGACGCGTTAGCGCTGACCAGTGAACAAGAACATCGCGTCCGCGAGTCTCCCTCTGATGGCGCGACTTTGCTTCGTTCGGCAAGAACGAAACGAAAGTAGCACAACGAGACGAATTTCTATTTTATCTAAATCAAAAATCTTTGATTAGCAGCGAAAAACGAATAGTTTGCATCATTGATTCAATATGAATAATTTATATAATCATGTTTGTTTTTAATTAACAAGCACATGAAGATACAAGACAAAAATAAACGTTACCGAAGAAAATATTTGATAGGAATCCAAAGACATTTAAGTATATAAAGCTTTCTTGCTTACTACTTATCGAAAATACGCAAAGGATTACGAGTCTTATTCTGCTTTGCGATTGTAAATTGCATGACGATAATTTATACTGGTTACGCAACGAAAAATCGATGTCCAATTCCAATTGGGTCATCCAATTACGGATTATTTCGTCCAGTAGCGGGCACTCGGACGCACACGAAGAAGAATCGACCCGATCGACGAATTGCGTATTCGTTTCCCTTGTTTCTAATATCGTATTTATCTACACGCACAACCACATGCACCGTAATAGTTATAGCATGATACGCGAATATTATAATATCGTTGTTCGCGCCACACCACGATATAGAAGCAGCATCCTCGAGCACCGGATCGTAATACTGCAAGTATAGGTGTGTATATTTTTCTAGTTTGCTCCCCGAGTGCATAGTCTCTCTCGATCATGAAACGCGATTCTCATTCTTACGCGCGATTTTCGATCATTGAAGCCTGCGTTACGGCTCAAGACTAGGCATTTAGCCGAAAGTATATAATAGTGTTCGCGCGATTCATCTTTTTTAAACTCTCGAGTATAGAGCGAGAAACGGAAGAAGCTTCCGCGACCAAAAAACAAAGAGAAAAAAAACAAGCATGCGAGAGTCCGTCGAGCGAAAGTTTGATGAATGGACTTCCAAAGCGACGTTTCGCGCGCGCGTCGCTTCGAATTTTCTATCTCGACGAGCCGCGAGCAAACTTTTACCTTTGATTCTGCACGTGACCTTTACTCTAAGCGATATTTATTTAGTAATGTCTACCAAAGATGAAGAATTTCATATTGTAAAGAGAGTATTGAGAGATTTATGTAAGATATCCGGATTTTTTATTTTATTTTTTTCTTTACTGTTCCCGGTGATGGAATAATTAATCGCTACGTGGAAACGACGCAGTCGGGAGCGATACTCGAGCGAATAAGCGGTGGTGACACGCGACGAAATTCAAAGACCAATTCTTCTTGCTTCGCCATCGCGCTCGATGTCGCAGATTCATGCACCAGATTCCTGAACCGCAGATCGATATCCGATATCTCTGCGCACAAGCAGCGTAAAACGCATGACAATTAATTAATTAATTAATTAATTAGATTTCTAAGGTCTCGCTCGTTCGCAAAGCGTTAATGTGTTACACGTTTTACATCACAATAACAATTATTATTGTAGCCATTGTCGTACAACATGTGCGTAAAAGATTTGAGTGAGAAAGCGAGCGAGAGAGCGGGAGAGAATGAGAGATTGTGAGAGTAAATTCGCGAAGAGAGAGAAAGAAAGAGAGAAATGTGAGAAAAGATTATGTAATCACTCTAATCTCGTTAAGAAAAAAAAAGTATTATCTCGTCGACTTTGTATCATAGCGTTATTCTCGCGTTTATCCGAGCGTTTGAGTTTTATGTCTCATGCCGATTATTTTTGTATAGAGCTTGTCCCCTTTTTTCCATCCTCTTGTATTCTCTTTGTATTTCCTTTTGTACTCTCTTCTTTCCCGTTTACTGCGTAAAATCACAATCATATTGCGTTCTGCGCGGGAAAACCGCCTTCTTAGAAGCTTTCCTTTCAACTCCTACTTTCCTCGACTCGTCGGGCTTGCATCTTATATGAAATTAATATATTAACACTTGTCTTCTCCCTTCTTGTTGGACGATGTAATCGATAAATATCTATTTAAAGAATCACTTAAATAGCGTGTACATTATTAAGTTTTGCTATATTCGTTTCTGCAATAGATCACCTGTATTTAAACATATAGCGACTATTAAACTACATGAACAAATAAATACGATTAGACACATTATAAACGAGCCTACTTTTCTCTCATTCACCCAATTGTAATTTTATTTAGTCACCAATCAAATAATTCATCTCGAGGCAGCAATATGTTCGTCAATCGAAAAACTCAAAGTTTGTAAATGTACAGCATATTATGATTTATTATGGAATATTTATTATAATCACCTACAACGATATCTTTTACATTGCAAACAAAAATCAATCAATATTCAAGAATTTTTAAAGTAATTATTTCAAACAATTTTAATATCGATAAATTTAAAATAAATATATATATCTTTTATTTAATAGTGTCTTTAATATGTGAAATATGAATGTATGTGAGATATTTGATATTGTATTCGTCTACATTTTAGTGAATATTAATAGACTGTTTATTCTCAATCAATATGAGATATTAAATAATCACATCTATTTAGCAATGATATACTTTTAATCCGTAATAATAGAATAATGTGTGATACAATATTAAACTTGCAAATAAAATTGTCTGTTTTGTCATATTTGCGATTATTTGTTGACATATTTTGATCTGTATTTGAAAATATATACTTGTCATGAGTTTCATATTTAATAAAATGTATTTTGCATAATTTTTCTTTCATTGTAAATTTATTATAAATTTTGTTTGCCTTTCCATGATAAGTATATTTCTATAAAAGGATAAACTTGTATACCTAACTCGCATGATAAGCCACGTAGAAAGTAAATAATCTAGCGTGATATATTTCTGAATTAAAAAAATTCTAATTTTATATAATTTCAAGATTAGAAATAAACATATGTAATATATGACGAGAAATATATTAAAATAAATTTTATAAATTTTTTCAAATATTCTATCAGATGATTTTTTTTTATTTAATAGATGGAGCCATAAGTTCATTACAAGTCTCCAAATCGCTTTAAAACCAACAATTTGACAGATTTTATTAAGAAAGAACATAGTTTAATAATTAAATTTATTTTATAATTTATGCTTCAAAACGTCTTATAGATCAATCAATTTTTTATCAAGAATTTAATTAATTTTCTTATTAAAGTCAATCTATTCTTTGATCGAGCGAAATATTACATATGTTTTGCACTAAAAAAGTTTCAATTATATTCAGATAAATTACATCAACAATTAAATAAATTACTCGTGCAGTCGTTAAAAAATAGATCAAAATCTCCCTCCATTGCCTTGATTTTCAGCATTCTCGCGGAAAGAATCATGAATGAGCTAATCGCATTAGCCATAATCCTCGGATGTTTATCGCGTAATCAGTGCCGGCGATCTAACAATGTAAACAGGCGGTCAGCGAACGATCATTGCCAATCATTCTAATCGAGATGAGCCTCGATTACGGTGGCGACCCTCGAAAAATCAATAATACGTACCCTGTGGCGTGCCAACGCCGATGGTGCACGCACGATACTTCTAAGGTAGCGTGTGAATGAACGAGAAATTATTTCTAAAATACATATTTTTGAGTCTTCTCTGCATTAAATGCGACTGTCTGATGCTAAATTGATGATCCATTTTTAGCGTGCATGATAATTAAATGCGAATGTCTGTCACTTTGTAAGATTCTCGTCCCATCCTCGCATCGAGTAGCATTTTCGAGATTTAAATAAAGGAAACTTTATTTTATAAAAAATTAACTTTAATTAAAGGGAAATTTAAATATAAAGATTATATTTAAAAATTATATTTAAAAATTGCCGATTATCGCCGATTATAATTCATTTCAAATATGTATTTTGATATATTGCATATTATGCAAACATTATCTACGATGAATCTCGAAATAATGATTTACTACTTAAAATTGAAGATATGATATCTACTTTTTCTGCGAGACAATCTAATTTTGAAAGATTGACAAGAGAGTACTTGATTATCCGCGCTGTGCTTTTAATGAGAGATTACATAAAGATTATAAAGATTTTTATCTGGCCGTATAAAGTTCGTAAAAACACATTTTACGATGACGTTTACATTATTAAGCGCCACGTTATCTTCACTCATTGACTCATTTACACGTAATTGGATTTATGAAATTAATTGTACGAAAATATAAATTCTAGTGAAAGTGAGAAAAAATCAAAGTACTCGCATATTTATTTATGAGATTAGCAGAGCTCATGAATTTCAGAGAATTCCAAACGGAAATGCTGATAATATTTGCAGAGAACGCAATTGCCGCAAGATCGATGAAATAGTAATGGCGATTAACGCGTGCAACATTGCAAAATTATAACGCAGTATTCTAAGGTAAAGATCCTTAGTCATTGATATCAAGGACTTTTGTGACAGCATAATTCGCAACTACATATTAATGCTCGTGTATTTAATTTTAGATACGTGCAACACTGAGAGGTAACAATCACCATAATATCTGATGCAACTTTAGATTGAGAGAGGCTACAAGTTAGGAAATTCGCTCACTTTAAAAAAAATATGCATTTCCTTGAGATATTTGTTATATATATACATATATTATATTATTAATTATGAGTCATTAATTTTTACAACTCTTCTTTTTCAAGATTTATGTAAATTTTTCCAGAGTTATATCAATTTTCCAGCTCTCTCTTCTCTATCAATTTTTCACTTCAAGTTTGATGATTTGCACAATTCATATCAAGTATTATCTTTCCAATTTTGTAAATGATTGAGAGAGATTTAAGAGAGGATCCCTGACTTGCAAACGATTTTATCACTCCGGCGGGAGCCA